ATTAGCAGAGAGACTGAAAATAATTAAGTTCAGAGCCAAAATTAATGAAATCGAAAATAAAAAAACAATACATAAGATCAATGCAACAGTTGGTTCTTTGAAAAGATAAACAAGACTAGATAAACTATTGAAAAGAATGAGAGAGATCTAATTCAACAAAATTAGAGATGAAAATGAGATACCAACACAAATGATCTTTAGGAAGCATATTGAAAACTGATGCTCCAATAAATTAGAAAATTTAGAAGATATAGACAAATATCTAGACACATATGACCTACACAAATTGAACCAAGAGAATGTAGAAAACCTAAAAAGACCAATATCAAGTAATAAAATATAATCAGGAATTAAAAGCTTTCCAACAACAGCAACATTTCCCAGGACCAGATGCATCCTCAAATGAGTTCTACCATACCTTTAAAGAACAAATTATGCCAATCTTCCTGAAATTATTCTATAAAATAAAAAGAGAGTGGATATCCCCAAATTCATCCTATAAATCCAGTATCATCCTGAAAGCAACCAAATGAAGACACAACAAGGAAATAAAACTACAGACTAATAACTGATGCACATAGACTCAAAAATCCTTAATTAAAATATATAGCAAACTTTAATCTAAAATACATTAAGAAGATTGTATACCATGAATAAGTTGGTATATCTCATTGATGCAAAGTTTGTTCAACAGAGGCAAAAAAATAAATGCAATTCATCACATAAATTATGGACATGAATCACATGATCATCTCAATAGTTGCACAAAAAGATTAGACAAAATCCATCATCCATTCATTTTAAAATTGTGAAGAAAAGAGATAGAAGAAAATTACCTCAAAATTTTAAAGCTTATAAACTGACAAACTCAAAATCAACTTCATGCTGTATGGAAAAAAACAAAAAAAAATTTTTTATAAAATCTGGAATAAGACAACAATGTCAAATCACACCACTCCTATTCAATATAGTTCTTGAAACTCTTGTCAGCAATCAGGCAAGAGAAGAAAATCAAAGGTAAGAAGAAGTCCAATTATTTGTTCGCTGATGATGTAATTCTATACAGAGAAGAACCAAAAATATCCACCAGAGGACTACTAGAGCTGATAAATTTTAAAAAGTAGCAAAATACAAGATAAGCATACAAAAATCAATAGTTTTTCTATAATCCAATAATAAATCTACTGAGAAAGAAATCAAGAAAACTATTCTGTTCATAATATCTTAAAAAAAACAAACTTGGGAAAAAAATCTAAATAAGAAAGTTAAAAACCCCTACAATGAAATCTATAAAACACTGAATAAAAAAATGGAAGACGACCTTAGAGGATGGAAAGACCTCCCATGATGTTAGAAAGAAAGAATATTGTAAAAAATGGCCATATTACCAATCTGTAAATTACTGTATACAGATTCAAGGCAATCCCCATCAAAATACAGATGACATTTTTCACTGAACAATAAAGTACCATCCTAATAGCCAAAGCAAGATAAACAAGAAATATGATGCTGGAGGCATCATAATACCTGATCAAATTATACTACAGAGATATGGTAACAAAAACAACATGATATTGGCATTGAACATACATGAAGATCCATGGAATAGAATAAAAGACAAGCCCACATATGATATAGTCATCTGATATTTGACAAAGGTGCCTAAAACATGCATTGGAGAAAAGAACCTTTTTAACAAATGGTGCTGTGATAACTGGGTAGCCCTATATAGAAGAGCGAAAGTAAATCCCTGTCTTTCACCCTGCAGAAAAGTTACTCAATGTGGATTATGGACCTAGGAATTAGATCATAATTTTGCAATAGCTCAAAGAAAACATATGGTCAACACTCTGACATATTGACAAGTACTGACTTCCTTAACAAGATTACTAGAACCTAGTAAATATCTAGACACATATGATCTACCCAAATTAAACCAATAAAATAAAACCACAAGTAAGTGAAATGGAATCAAATTAAAAAGATTATGCACAGCAAAGGAAACAAGAGCCTGAACAGAGAGCTACAGAGTAGGAGAAAATGTTTACCAGCTACTCCTACAACAGGGGATTAGAATCCAGAATATATAAAGAACTCAAGAAACATGATACCCATAAAACAAAACAAAAATCCATCAATAAATGGACAAAAGAACTAAACAGATAGTTCTCAAAAGAAGAAATACAAATGGCCAACAAATAGATGGAAAATGTTTAACATCTCTAGCAATCAGGAAAATGCAAATCTACATTGAGATTTCATCTCACTCTATTTAGTTAGAATGGCAGTCATCATGAATTAAAATAATAATAAATGCTGGTGAGGATGTTGGGGGAAAGTCCACTCACACTTTGTAGGTTGGACTGGAAATTATTATAACCAGCTTGGAAAGCAGTATAAAGACTACTTGAAAGACTGGGAATGTAACCACCATATGACCCAGCTACTCTAATTCTTAGTATTTTCCAAAGGAACTAAAATCTTCATACTATAGTTAATGTTTATAGCAGCATAATTCACAATATTCAAGTTGTGGAATCAGCCCTGGTTTTACAGATATCATCGACAGATAAATGGATAAAGAAAATGTGGTATATATACAGAATGGAGTTTTACTCAGCTGTAAAGAAGAATGAAATCATGACATTTTCTGATAAATGTATGGAACTGGAGAACATCATGTCAAGTGAAATAAGCCAGACTCAGAAAGTCAAGGATCAAATGTTTTCCCTCATATTAGGAAAACAAGGAAGAAAAAAAGAAGAGAGGACTCCGTGAAAACAGAAGCGAGTTCAGTGAAGTGGCAGAAGAGGATTGATTGGGAAGGAAGAAAGAAGGACAAAGGGAGAAATTGCAGAATAAAATTAAATGTAGATATTTAAATGTACCGCGGTGAATTCCACCTCTGAATGCGTCTAAAACACCAACATAAAAAATAACAATGAATAAATAGAGGAAGCTGAGTAGAATAAAAAAGGGACCTAGGCAGGAGAGAAATGGAGGGAAACAGGAATCAGTGGGAACTGAGATGGAGCCAATTATATTCCATGCATGTATGATTGTGTCAAAACAAATCCCACTATCATGCATAACTGCAATGCACTACTACAGATACTTTACAGGACAAGGATCTGTCCATGTCTACACACCTGCCCTGTCCTCCCTACTTCCCCGCTCTCCTGGTGTAGCAATTGACTTGACGACACCTTTGAATTAGCATGCTTGCCCCATCCCTACAGCTTTGTACCAAACTTTCCCCATTCAGGTGTCTTGTCATCTGAATGACTGATTCTCACAGTTCTGGTCTCAACTTGAGGGTCCTTTGATAGAAAGCCTTCTGCAATCATTCCCAATGGGCATACTGTCATTTAAACATTTGCTATAATTGCTTAGTCATATGCCATCCCTACTATGTGAGAATATGCTCCTGTTAGGAATGTGCAATATAGACCAATGTGTTCAAGATCACTCATGGGCACCGGCACATAGTAGATATCCCCTGATATTGCTTGTTTTAACACTGATAGAAACTTAATAAGCATGCCATCTTTGGTGATGCCTGCCAATCTTCAAAGCATTGAAGTAAGGATTGCATTTACTATGAAAGCAAAATTCATGTTTTGAACAGCCAACAATAAAAAATCATCAAAAAAATAAATTAAACATTGAAAATAAAATGAAAGCAAAATTCAAATGTCAGATGAACTTCAGATTATCTGAGTCTGCAAATCTGTTGGAACTCCTAGTTTCTCAGACAACGGGTTGACAAATGTAAGTAAGTACCTCTAGTTAACTGACTTAAAGAAGTGTCACAGAGAAGAAAATACTTAGGCTCCAAGGAAGTAAGAAGACCAGCTACTTTCCTATGCTTTAACTTTTTTATTTCCATTTTCTTTTCCCCTTTCACTTATTTCTTTGACTTTCTTTTGCATTTGTGGTTTTTTTCATGAAAGACGGGATCCACTCTAAAACCCAGATCACTATGTTTATAAAGGCTAACAAGAGCCTGTTATATGTGGGAGAGTGAGTGGGAGAGAATTGATGATACAATTCTCACAGCTAACTAACCTGGAATTTCCCAAAATCCACATTAAAAGGATCTTCTTATCTCTCATGGGATCTGCCTGAAGATGATTCCCTTGCTTAGATAAACTATGCTTATGACATTTTATACATTTTCTCAAAAGTCATGTTTTTATTTTGTTCTTAAAGATTCAGAGTAAAGTCAATGGATTTTCCAGAGATCAGATAATTTTAACATTTTTAAAGATACCCATTTACATGCAATGAAATCATTCTCAAACTGCTTGAAAACTGTCAATTATGGCCTGAAACTAAAATTTCCCTTGGATATTAATGGTCTTGGGTGAAAACAACTTTTAGTTATATCCCTTCTGGGGTAAACATGACCTTCACTTGATCTTTCTTCACTTGATCCATCATTACCTGCAGCACTTGGAGAATGGCATTGCATCCACAATCAGTGGGTGCTGCTGCACGAAGACCCTTCCATCAGCCTTGACAGCAGAGGGTTGATTTATGCAGTTACTACACATGCTACAATACCACCCATTATTTTAGGTGAGACTTCAAATGTGAAAATGCATTTTGTTTCCACTGGAAACACCTAAACCTTTGCCAAAATGTGTCTGCTAAGAACAAGGGGTCCAAGGGAAGATCCATGAATAAGGGTCACAATTAGAAACAATATGATGAATCAAAAAAGTGTGTCTTATCTCAGGCCTTGGGAATGGAGATTGAGAACAGGAGGTGAGTTCAATATCAGCAGTGCTTAACTCCACTGAACACACTGCTGTGACATAAAATACTCCCACATCCCACACCCAACACACTTACAGAACAGCCGCCTACATAACACACCAGCACTTGTTACGACATCTGCTTCCTGGATGCCACGGCAATGCAGCTGAAGCCTGTTATATGAGTGGGGTGGGGAGCACTGAGGCACAGCTCTCCTTTCTAGTGATTTCCATGAGTTATCATGTTGCCAGTTTTGACATTATCCCTGAAAACTGTCCTAATAATTTCTGCCAGGCGCTCTTCACATCTTTATTCCGTAGACTGTAAATCATGGGGTTCAGCATCGGAGTCAAAACGGCATAGAAGAGAGAGATCAGCTTCTCCTGAAGGACAGAGGGGCTGGAGTGGGGCTGGATGTAGGTGAAAATGGCCATGCCATAGCAGAGGGCGACCGCAGTGAGGTGAGAGGCACAGGTGTGGAAGGCTTTCCTCCTTCCCTCTGTGGACTGGATCTTCAGGATGGTGGAGATGATGTGGACGTAGGACAGGAGCACCAGGAGGAAGGGCGTCATCAGAAGGATGATGCTAGAAACCATGATGGCTACTTCATTGGAGGAGGTGTCCACACAGGCCAGCCTGACCACAGCCAGGAGTTCACAGGATATGTGATCAATGTACTTGTTTGTGCACATGGGCAGCTGGAAAGTGATGGTGGTCTGCATGAGTGAGTTGATGGAGCCACTGAGCCAGGATGTGATGGCCAACCGAGTGCACAGGCCTCCATGCATGATGACTGAGTAGCGCAGGGGGTCACACACTGCCACATAGCGGTCATAGGCCATCACTGCCAGGAGGACAAACTCTATCCCACCCAAGCCCAGGGAGAAAAACAACTGTGCAGCACAACTCAGGAATGGGATCCCTTTGTGTTCTGCCAGGAAATGCACCAGCAGCTGAGGGACGATGCTGGTGGCATAAGACACGTCCACGAGGGAGAGGTTGGTGAGAAAGAAATACATGGGCGTGTGCAGCCGGCTGTCCAGTCTGATCAGAAGAACAATGAGGAAGTTCCCCAGCACTGTCAGCAGGTACATGGCCAAGAAGAGGACAAAGAGGGAGACTTGAGTGTCCCAATCACTGGTCAGTCCAAGGAGAATAAATTCACTCCCCCATGTCCGATTATATGTTCCCATTAAAAAAAGTTAATCTGTAGGAAAATTCACAAATCACAAGAGATATTTATCAAGAAACATAAACAAATTTTATTGCATTTATATAGACCATCCATTTTTAGTCAAGTACTTCAAATCCCACATCATCCAGGAAGACACGCTGGGTCGCCATACACTTTATAGATCCACTTTGAATCACAAGTGGAGTGTCTCCATGAGGATATGATTTGGCACCAGAATGCCAAAGAGAGACTGGCACATGAGGACCACAGGTAAAATAGGTAGCAACAAAGAAGAATACAGTTGGCAGGTTAAAGAATTATCTGCAATATGGCAACTAAACCCATACTGGGAAAATGCATAAACAAGTCTACTTTGTATTTCTTCCTTAGTGTTCATCCAACCCTGGTGGTTTGTTTGTTTGTTTGTTTGTTTGTTTTCATGTTAACTACTCATCTTAAACTCCTTTAATAAACAATAAAATCCTGATTTTCATTTTTTGGGTCATATCATCCTCATGCTCAACAAACCTCAAAGCATACCTCCCCTCATGTTGTGAGATGTCTCTTGTGTCCTCAAAAACAATCCACACTGCCTGCTCAGAACATGATACTGGAGAACAATATACCTCTGAGACATGAGCACTGGGAGGGAATATTTCTCTTTGCCTATATCTTTGAATCATGGTGAATGTAGAGTTATTACTGTGGCATCACAAATCAACACCATGTGATAGAATGACAAAGGTATGGGACTCTGGGCGTGGCTCAGTGGCAGAGGTCATACTCAGCAGGAGGGAAGCCCTGAGTTCAATCCCCAGCACACAAAGAAAATAAAAGTGCCATAGGAATATTCTGCTAAAAAATCGTCCCCTTCAACACCTTTATGAATCAGTGTATCATCTGGCCCTGTAAAATAGTCACATATGAATAGAAAATGGGAATTTCAAATGTGAATAACACCGAAACTCCAGCAAAACTCAGAGAAGAGGTGTGGAGGGCAAATATTAAAACTTCTCAGTTAAAATGTTATTGTTATGGAAATGGCTAAATCAAGCTATGTATTAATTTACATACTTACATTGCTTTTTTATCTGGTAAGAATACTTGAAGTCTACAAAATAAATACATATAATTTTTATTTGTCAAATTATAAAATTTTTAAAATTACCTTTTTTTTTGGCCCTAGTTAAAAGTATCTCCATGTACCTTCTACCATTATCCAGTAAGTACTTGTTGGGGAAAATATCAAGACTCAAATGTTCTCTCTATGACAAAGAAACAAAGACCAAAAATAGGTGTTTAGATTCTTCACACAAATCTTTTTTTTTTCCATGACATAATATGCCTAATTTAAAAGTTAAATTTCAATCAATCAGCCTTTTTAAATAAAGAAAATCTTTTTGTTGATTCCATGGAAACTCTTACCATTTTAATTAATGTAAAAAGTTAAATTTTAACAAATCACATATTGTTTTTATTCCTATTCCACCTGATAAATTCACCCACTATTCTTTTCCCTATTTTTTCAACAATTTATTACATTGTAACATCTTTAGCTGAAAATATGCATCAGCTCAACAAGATGAGTGAGGAATTAACACAACAACCTGGGATGATGTTAGAGCCTGGATTACCTTTTGCCTGGATGGGGAAGATACATTTGACTTTAGCCATCCCTGTCTCCCTTTTTCTGAGTCTGTCTTCTAACCCTGCATCTATGAGCCTGATGACTTCATGCTGTTCTCTGCACAGGTCCTGCCTTCCAGTATCATGGCCCTACTCAAAATTGTCCTTCCTCTTCTCTTAAAAGCAATGCCAAGGATGTCAAGATCTTAAGTTCAATATATTTCTACTGGTAACTTCTCAGGCAGTGATTGTGGGTATGTTTGCTGGTAACATCTGGATTTTCAGAATCATGCAATCAGGCCTCATTCAATTGTTCTGCTACCATTTCCTTAAATTTAAACAGTTTGTGGAGGTCCCATTTATGCCAAACTCAATGTCTATGCAGAAAGCCTGGGAAGAAAGAATATCCTTCCAAGTATGAAGATGACTTTTCTCTATAAAGTACTGTTAGCTTTGCACCTGTCACCCCCTCTCCATGTTCCTGCTCTAATAGAAGTGGCAAGAACTTGAAGGAAGTATGAGAAACTGTTCATCAAAGAAAAGATGCAAGACTTGACCCACAAGCAAACATCACCAGATCTGTCCACTACATGGGTCACAAGCAGTCAGAATCATTACGTGTCATCCATGGAGATGGCTTCCATGCTGCTATTCCCATTGTTCTTGTACAGTTTTTAATTACATTTGGTTTCCTTGCTGCTCTATGGCCCAACACTCAAAAATAACTCAGTGTGTTTTTGCAAGGAAGGAAATCACCAAAGACTGGCACTGAGATGTCATTTCCCTTCCCAACAGTCAGTGCCACATTTCACTCTACCCCAGTGAGTGCATTACACATTTAACTCTGTCTAACAACATCTTCTATTTCTATTACCTAGCCACATGAAAAAATTTTTTTCTTCGTTTCCCTCTCTATGAAAAGGAGAGTATTGATTTGAAAGACTTAGGAAGCATACAGAGTACAAAAGGATTATCTAGTGTCTCACACTCATATGAAAAATATACTTCATAATAATAATCATTTCCACTATTCATGACAATTCAAAGAGTGCACAGTTGGACAAAAATTTGTATCCGCCTCAAAAATCTGATCTGAGACATAATGGGGCTTAGAGATAGGCATATTACCAATATAATCTCCCATTCATTATAGTGATGATTCCCTACAGCTAAGTAAGAGAAAACCAAAAAAAAAAAAAAAAATTTCTCCTTGGAAAATTTGCATATCCATTTTGTAACACATCTTTGATTCTTTATCACTTTTGGCTGTCCTTAGTAGAGTCTACAGTGTTAGCAGGGGTAAATCCAGAAGCCCAGTACCCGAAGGTTAAGACACACAACCTACAAATATTTTTCTTTCTTGATGGTCAAAATAAATCTGAACCTTACCTTGAAACAGTTGGGCTGTCAATGGAAATGACACTTTCATTTAGGGAGAGAGCCATCTCACTGTGCTGAACTCTTGATTGTATAAACAGACTGCATCCATAATGGACAGGAGAGTCTCCACAATTGGACATAGAGAACCCCAGGGCCACTTAGGAGGGTGACATATAAAATAATTTTGTATTCTGGGAGGACAACTAGTCTTCTCTCTTTCTCTCTAGATTTGGTTGACTCAATTTTCACATAATTTGAGCCCAATAATGGAGACCCAGTTTCTCAAAGAAGTGCAATCATGAAATTAACTTGTGGTATCATTTATTATTATAGTTATCTTGTGCACATTATCACTGTCCCTGTCTCTTGTTCCCTATACTAAGACCAGGGTATTCTTTTGCAAGATAATTCTCTTAATGAAGCCTCTGTAGCAAAGTCCTTAAAATACATTTTCAAGGTACTAGCACTGAAATGAGGACTGGCAAACCTCAATTGAAGTCTCAGTCTACATTTTGAACTCAAATTTCATGTGAAGAAAAATCAAAATACTTTTTACTTACACTCTTAAGAAAATAACTGAGAAATGAGACTTTAAAACAATAGACAGTTTATCTTTTCTGAAAATGTAATATATTCCTACCACAAATTTGTGAATATTAATCAATATCTAAAGAAAAGTTTTATGGGTCTGGGTTCCCCTTCTAAATATCTTTCCCCAAAAATAATGTAAAATTTTTCCATGATATTTCTAATATTTTAAATTATTATTTTCCCCATCTGTTTTAATCTTTCTTATTTCCCCGTTGGTTATAAAGTTTAGAATCGAGAAACCCATACAAAACACACACACACACACACACACACCAAACTCTCCAGCTTTTGAAAGCAGAATTTACTACATTTGTTGTAATACTTAGAATGAGAAGATTTCAACATTCATGTTCAGATTTCTGATTCAGAGTCCCTAACAAATCAGATTAGTGCAGTTTCTGTCCCTCCAAAGCCTATTTATTTTGCATTATGCCTTCTATTGACCCTTCTTTTAAGAGCTTTCAAATATTAATTAGCATCTAAAAAAAAAAAAAAAACTCAAACATTTCTACTTTAGTTTAGGTTGCAGTTGTTTTCTAAAGAGTACTCCTTTCCAACAAAATGATTTCTGATAGAGGTTAAGAGTCCTCAACACTTTTGGCTCCAGGGCTCAGAAATCACCTGAGACTAGTTTTGTTTGCAAGGGAAGCTACTAAGAGGAAGTTCATAAGTGCCCTCAAATTAGCTCCCACAAAGACCCAAGGAAGTGTGGTGGCTGCACTGGCAATGTGGGGCTGCCAAATTCCCCTCAGGGGCTTCATGCTTTAGTGTGTTAATTGCTGTCACCTTCCCAGTTCTCAAGGGTTTCTTTGTTGCCCTTCTTCTCCCTGAGGAAGGCTGTTCTCCATTCTCCTTCCAAAATGCCACTGAAGCCTAGGGTATTCTTAAGTCACCAAAGCCTGCTTTCTGCTTTGGTAACTTAGGATGTTCTCCTGGAGTTGCACTCCTATTCTAATGAGCAGTTACCTGAATCCTTGCCAGATGAAGCATTTGGTTCTAGAATGCCATTACATCTTTTCTTCAGAAGAAAGGATTTTGCTTCAAACCCCAAAGTTATATGCAAAAAATACCTCTAGGCATTGCAAGTGTTGAACAACACCTGAGTATATTTACATCATGCTGTTAAAGGTTTCAAAAATATGATTAAGCTTTAAGACTCCAAATAATATGTATGTAAAGAGAGTCTTGGAGTCCATAGGGGAGAAGATGGAAAGAAAAGGGTCATCAAAAATCCTTGCCAAGCGTGGTGGTGCATGCCTATTATCCCAGAGGCTTGGAGGCTAAGACAAGAGGGTCACAAGTTCAAAGCCAGACTCAGCAAAAAAATAAATAAATAAATAAAAAATAACCTGGGGATGTGGCTCAGTGGTCGAGTGCTCCGGAATTCAATACCTGGTACCAAAAGGAAAAAAAAAAATCCTT